AGAGAAGAGACGATACAATTTAAAGCACCACAACTGACATGGTTGAGAGAAGAGACGATACAATTTAAAGCACCACAACTGACATGGTTGAAAGAAGAGACGACACAATTTAAAGCACCACAACTGACATGGTTGAGAGAAGAGACGATACAATTTAAAGCACCACAACTGACATGGTTGAAAGAAGAGACTATACAATTTATAGCACCACAGCTGACATGGTTGAAAGAAGAGACTATACAATTTAAAGCACCACAACTGACATGGTTGAAAGAAGAGACGATACAATTTAAAGCACCACAACTGACATGGTTGAAAGAAGACCCCTTTCTGTCAGCATTATTCTACGGTTATTATTCACCATACAACCCTTTCTATCAGCATTATTAACCATACAACCCTTTCCGTCAGCATTATTCTACGGTTATTATTCACCATACAACCCTTTCTGTCAGCATTATTCACCATACAACCCTTTCTGTCAGCATTATTCACCATCCAACCTTTTCTGTCAGCATTATTTTACCGTTATTATTAACCATACAATCCTTTCTGTCAGCATGATTCTGTGGCTATTATTCACCATACAACCCTTGGCTGATATGATTATAACCCTAAAGAGAAAGCATCAGCGTTAACTGTTATAGTGTGAACGACTTTTCTAAACTGGCAAAGCATGATTATACCTTTCATAAGTTGATGTTGTTTGAAGTTAAGCACAAAGCTACACAATAGGCTATCTGTGCTCTGCCCACCACGGGTATCGAAAACTGGTTTCTTTGCGTTGTAAGTCCATTCATTTATGTCCATTAAGATATTATTCTTACAAACTTGTCGACAAGACTCTAGTTTCAGCTAATGCTTGTGAATTATGTCCTGACAAATTACAGATAAAGGACCTGGCTGTCCTCCACTGACTCTTCCAAACCATGGAGAGTATGCAGGATCCTGCCTATCAGCTGTGGCAGGCCAGCGATGCTCGTTCTCCTGTGTAGGAGACAATCAGCTATTAGGACCGTCCACATTGATATGTCTGGAATCTGGAGATTGGTCTGCTGCGCCTCCAACATGTGAACGTAAGTGTTTTAAATTGTATCGTCTCTTCTTTCAACCATGTCAGTTGTGGTGCTTTAAATTGTGTCGTCTCTTCTTTCAACCATGTCAGTTGTGGTGCTTTAAATTGTATCGTCAACCTTTTATGTTAGCATTATTCTACGGTTATTATTCACCATACAAATTCTGTCAGCATTATTCTACGGTTATTATTCACCATACAACCCTTTCCGTCAGCATTATTCACCATACAACCCATTCTGTCAGCATTATTCTACGGTTATTATTCCCCATACAACCCATTCTGTCAGCATTATTCTACGGTT